ACCATGCACGCTCCCTCGTGCGTATTGTCGTACTTACCACAGCGACTCTGATCCTACTGGTCTCTCGATTTCGAATCCTGAACCTTGGTCCTCTTGCCCGATCCCCCTAAAATGTGAGCCTGACCCGACTTCCTCTTCCTCTCCATCTCAATATCAATCTCTCTCTCTCTCTCTCTCTCTCTCTCTCTCTCTCTCTCTCATATCCTCCAGTGTCTTGCAACTGGATCGGTCACAAACTGCCAGATATTGCTCCTCAACATATCATGGTACCTTGCCTTCTTCATCTCCTCGTCCGCCACATACTACGGCACCAAAAGCACCCTCTCACGAAACATCGCGGTGATCTCAGCCACCGTCTCAGTAGTCTAGCGGAGATCCTGAAACTCTCACGCCAACTGCTACACCTCAATCACTGTTGCTAACTCAGCCCTGAATCTAGTCACAAAATCATCCCACGACATGGACTCAATCGCCTTGCCTCTGAAGGCATGCCCTACCTCCTCCCACCGGTCTCGAGCTCTGTCTTTCAAAAGATAGGAAGCAAGTCTGACCTTTGCCCCATCAAGATAACTGCTGGTGCAGAATGCGTTAGCAACATCTACTAACCATCACTTGCTCGCTATCAGGTTCTTCTCCCCGTAGTATTCTGGAGCCCCACATGCCCGGAACTCCCTGAAGGTCAATGAACGTGCCTTTATCAAGGCCACCATCTCAGAACAGAAAGAACCCATGCGCTCCTCCAACACCTCAATGATACCCTCCTTGATCGTACCAAAGATCACAGGAGTTTGCTCAAGAATGTTGTGGGTAATCTCAGACGAAATGAACTCCCACATCTGATTATCCAACTGCCCGACTCCAAATCCTTAGCTCGAGCCCTCACCAGTACCAGAACTACCAACCGATCTTCCTTGAAGAGTCACCATACTGAAAATAGACCATATAAACCATCAGAATACCCATCAATATATATATATATATATATATATATATATATATATATATATATATATATATATATATCGAGGAATCTCATACCCTAGAACCTTCCTGGTTTCATCGCAGCTCTCCTTGACTCGAGTATGAATCCTCTAATTTCAGTAGTACGGGCCCATACTACCTTCCACGTCTATCCGTACTTTCCTCAAGGATTGCCTTGAATCCTCTAAGTTACTCCTTATCCGAAGAATTAATCCTCAACAAGATAAGGCTCCCAACACTAAATCTCTTCCTAGATTTTTCCTAGGGTAACCACCACACCAATCTTCGCCATCAGCTACAGAAGGAACTCCCGCTAACTCCCTCTAACTAGCTCACGAATACAATTACATACCACTAAGACCAGATAATTCTTTGAATGAGAGGTCTCACACTACAACGGTTAGACTCAAAGAAGAGTTGCGCAATAAAGTTAAAACCCAACCTTCTGAAATTATTTAGTCTCAATAATATGTAACTTAACATATTCGCTTACTAGTTAGCTAACGTTAGTGGGAACTCTTAAAAAGCACAAAGCGAGTAGCATTCGATCATTGAGTAATCGAAACCAAGCATAACCTAATCAGGCCATCCTATCACTGACTGATTAGTAGCAGCATGCAAGTCTACAAGATCAACACAATAGACATACAATAACATCTCTCCTAGCATTCTATCATGCAAATATTGAGCAGATCCTTAGCCCTATCTAGCATGCGATTCACAGATTCAAAAATCAAAGCATATCATAAATCATGTATGGGTCTTTTGGGAAAACTTACTTGATATCGGTCAATTGCATACACCACACCCTTTTCTTTTATCAGAAACTATTTTTTATAAAACATTTCCTTTTTTGAAAAAATTTACTAAATCCTCAGTTTGAGTTCAAACATACCCGACAATACGTCTGAATCCCTCAAATCAAGGCTGTGATACTAACTTGTATCGTCCCAAAAATAAGACCAAAAACTTTCAATTTTTAAATTAATAAAACGGTAATCCAAAACATCATCATAAACCAAGATGGATCCAAGTGTATCAATATATCATAAAATATCAGAGTTAATCAGAAAATGCAGAATAAGGTGGTGTGTGCTCTGCAATCATCACAGACTCTTCCCTTTCAAACTAGAAGTACCTAAAACATAAACTGAAAACCATAATCATAAAGCTTAGTGAGTTCCCCAAAATACCACATACCATACATAATAATCACATGCTGGGCCCTCGCCCTTCATCGGGCCTTGCCTGACATCGGGTCCCGCCCGACATCGAGCCCCGTTCGGTATACAGATTTGTCAGCCATCAGGCCCCGCCTGGTATCGAGCCCTGCCCAGTACACATATAAACATATAATCATACGAACACATGCGATAATCACAAAGACAATAACATACAATATAATCATCGAGCCCCGCCCGACATCGTGCCTTGCCCGGTAAGCGTACCATCACATAACACATGCAAAAGTCACGCAGACATCTAGCATCCTAACATAATAAACCATGGGTTGGCATTGGTGCTTTCGACCCGCTAAACACAGTGATGAAACTCACCTCAAGCTGTTGAAACACTATGATAAATCTCTGCCCGCAGGTCTGACAAATTTCATGCTATCAATACTAATAACATCCAATTAATAATTGGATTCCAATCTATAACCATCAGTCTAATCAATTGGGTCCATAACCAGGGCAAAAGACCATTTTACCCTTCATCTAACTTGGCCCAAGACCAAGGCCCAAATATGGTCCAATTTTCCAAATTGGGCCCAAACCCATCATAGGCCTAAAATCCAAAGAATCCAATGCACTAGCCAAAAGCCCAAATCAAAAAGTCTAATGGCCCAACAAGGCTCAAATGAAGAAAATCCAACCTATGGCCCAAACCGAGAATGGAAGCCCAAAAAACCTTCTAGGGCTAGTACGCGCAGTGTACCAGCTGGGTACACCCAACGTACTCCCCAATTGGCTACCCTACTCCATTAAGCACTTAATCCGTTGAGACTTCAAGCCAAACTCTCAGATCTGATTCTATAAGACTATTAATTACGTAAAGTTGGCAACTTTACACATATGCATGGCTTAACGGGGTTCAAGAGCTCAAAAAGAGGTTAATAAAGGTCTTAACACATGCATGGGTCCAAATGCACCATAAAGTTGACATTTTTATGAACTTAGGGACTGAAAGGAGCTAAGATCTAGCATCCATAGCCTCTAGAGTAGATCAAAAGCTCTCCTTTAAGACAAAGGACCCAAAAGATGCACAAATGTTCCAAAAACTAGATCTAGCATAGAAGAGCACAAAGGTGTAAGCTTTTTACCTCAAAAGCTTGCAAATGTGGAAATGACCCTGGTTCTACAAGCTCAATTCACTTCTCCAAGGGCTTTTCTTCTTCTTCTTCACCTTAAGACACCAAAAATCTCTTATCAAGCTCACAAACTCACTAACACACTTAGGGTTTCGTTCTCTGGGACAAGGAGTATGGAGGTTGTCTAAATATGTCCAAATGAGGCTATCATAAGGTTTAAATAGGGTGCAAACCCTAAATATTAGGGTTTGGCTCAGACTTACGTACGCCATGCGTACGCCACGTATGCACCGCGTACGTGGTTAAGTCCCGCGATCAAGGCATCGAGCTAGTACGCCAAGCGTACCACTAGTATGCTCTGCGTACTAGCTAAAGGACCAAATTGCAATGTTTTTCGATAAGGAGGGTTAAATGTGAAACTTACCAAACTTGAGTGTTACATCTTGCGTCCGGGCATTGCCGCATATACTTAGACACTCACACCTTCGACAATACGCATAAACAAATCTTTATGCATCCAAAACCGTCGGCGAAAATAATATCCTTGAAAGAGATCATGCTCGTGAAAATAATCATGCATGAGACATTGGTGGGCTGCAGCACGCTGTCTTTGGATATATCTTCTTTTTTTACGTTGCACATTGCTCGCTCCATGGTTGTTAAGATGTTGTTCTAGACTATTATGTATGGAGATGACTGACTGTATTACACTATCAAAAACATCGTCCAATGAAGATGACGATGATGATAAAGACGAGGACGAAGACGGCGTTTTTTTTATAAACTATATGGAATTGTTTGAGAGATTTGTTGTGATGTATGTATAAATATGAAAGATGAAGGGTTGTTTATACCGGTTGAAAGAAATGTTTCAAAAATATGAATTTTGAAAACAAAAAACGGGGCTGTAACTTTTTAAAACTAATGAAGGTTTTTTAAAAATAATTGTGGTTTTGTATAAAAAATAAAATGATCAAAAGGGTATTACGATGGTCAGTGGTCAAGAAGAAAACTACTCAATCAAATCACTCCCTCCTTTCTCTCTCCTCTCGCTAAACCCATAACGAGACATTTTTAGCGTCTCACCTAACGAGGGCTAGGGGACAGTGTTCCAAAAGCGTAACGAGTCTTAGCGAGACTCATTCTGCCTCCATTCCGCTTGACCTTATAAATTATTTTGATCTTTTCAGAAACTACATTGCAAATTTCTCAAATAATAAGTTATCTATGTTTATCGATAGTTACTCCTTTTGTTCATTTAAACTTGTTTTTCCAATAGTTAATATATTTTCAATAAGATTGTTTTGATTATAATCGAAAAGATCATTTACTTGTTCATACCTATTAAAAAAATAAATAATTTTTTTTTATCCATGGGTATTTTAATTATTAATACCCAAAACTTTGTGGCATTTATTTTTAGACAGTGAAGTCAGTTTTTATAAAGATCCAAACCGCATCGTTTTAAAGGTGCAAGTTGGACCAAAATGTATAGTGAAAAAGGCTGCTGTCCGATAAGATTTCGAGATCTTGATTCATACTGCTCCATTGACTAAAAGTCAATGTCATTCGAAGATGACGACAAATACCCAACATTTCTGCTACTCACAGAATCACAGTGGTTTATATATAGAGTTGTCGATCGCATTTCATACGTACAAGTTACAACCAACTACTACAACTATATACTCTTGTCCTTACGAGTCAAATGGCTACAATATCGCTGAGTCAAATGTCAACCAATTTTCGAATCCAAAACCATAGCCCTGTGGTTGAAGAGATCAGTGGATTGATTCGCGTTCACAAAGATGGCTACGTAGAAAGACCTCCAGTTGTACCTCATGCTTCTTGCATGGTACCCTCAGAGCTCAAGGTTGTAGCCATAGATGTCACAATAGACAAATTTACTAACTTGTGGGCACGTATTTATTCCCCTAGCAACCAACAATATTTTTCATCAAAACTGCCGGTGCTAGTTTACTTTCATGGAGGTGGGTTTTGTGTCGGATCGGCTTCTTGGGCTTGTTACCATGACTTCCTAACAAATCTTGCTCGGGTCACTTGTTGTGTCATTGTATCGGTAAATTACCGTCTTGCCCCTGAAAACCGGCTTCCAGCTGCCTACGATGATGGGGTCAATGCCGTATTATGGCTAAAACAAGAGGGTCTAAAGGGAACTGTTAATGAGCTCAAACGGTGTGATCTTTCAAGCTTATACCTAGCCGGTGATAGTGCAGGTGCGAATATCGCGTACCATGTTGCAAAACGGCTCTCATCTATATCGGTTTTGTCACCGAAGGGAGTTATTTTGATTCAGCCTTTTTTCGGGGCTGAATCGAGAACCGTGTCCGAGAAGCAGTTAGCGCAAGCAGCTAACTCTGCGCTGACACTATCGGCTTCTGATACGTATTGGCGCCTTGCCCTCCCTGTTAAGGCCACGAGAGACCATCCATGGTGCAACCCCTTTGCCAAGGGTGCACCAAGATTGAGTGATCCAAAGCTTTTCAAGACCATGGTTTGTGTGGCTGAGTTAGACATATTGAAAGATAGAAACTTTGAGTTGGCATCGGCCTTAGCCGGTGTAGGTGCATCGGTGCAAACCGTAATCTACAAAGATGTTGGTCATGCGTTTCACGTTTTGCATAATTACCCAATGGCTCGGGCCCGAAACCACGAGATGATGATTCATCTTAAGGGTTTCATCAATCAATAACTAGCGCGATGAATCTTAGATTGTAAAATCTAGACTAGAGTTTGATGGTTGTTTTATTAATGTTATATAAATAAGTAATTGGGGTATTTCCTAAATCCAGCTTCAAGATTTCTTGATTTGTATATACTCATCACATAAATTGAGTTTTACGACATATTACTATAAGATATAGACCCCACATGTGGTGCTAATTGCTAAAGACACATGTCGTATTCGTTTCATACAAAGTCAAATCCATACGATTGCACAAAATCATAATATACATCAAAGATCAAACCCATGATTTTATATATCTTCTAGTTTTGGAAGGTGAAAAGTTTTTGTTCCATTTTTAAGGGGATATTTGGTTGGAGGGCACTTTGACCATATTAAAAGGAATCGTCTTTAAATAATGGGCATTTTATAGCAAAGCAAAATTCTTCGACATCTAGAATTGGTCAAATATTTTTTAACCCACGGAACTACCAATTTTAATGGGTATAAATTTTGTTCGCTCAATATTAGTATCATTCACACGTAATTAATTCTTTCATGGATTTATGTTTCAAATTATTCAATTTGTATTTTGTTGGGTATCTTCCGTTGAGATGTGCTTACGAAGATAGTCTCCATTGACGTTCTTGAATAAAGGGATGAAACAACATTCTAGCGTTTAGAAAGATTCTTGCTAATCCTATATCCCGTTCAATCTAAGTAACAGTAATAATAATAATAATAAATACTAAAACCTATGGCGTTTCCTTCATAAGATTTGCCAGAATCTTTCTAGGATGAGTTTTATCGAGAATATGTTCGTGTATCCATTGGTTGCCTTTAACCTTCTACAGATCGCAAGGATCAACAGTGATGTATCCTCTTAAGGGGTGAACACATATTGGTACTCATCATAACTCTTCTTAACCGTTAGGAACTGAAACCGGAACTAGAATCGATTGTATTGGTTAACTGGTCCTGAAATCGCTTGGAACCGGTTGCGATATCGGCTATCCAATTTCTATTTTTTTTTTCTTTTTGAAAATTGACAATTACAAACTATAAAATTAACCATCACAAACAATTTTCAGATTTTTGCAACAAATATTTTTAATATTGACATACTTTTCCCTAACATTTTGTAATTTATAGAAAAACTCCTTTTTGGTGTCTTTTTTACAAAAGCTGTCTCTATGTTTAATATTTTCATATGTTGGTAAATTTGATCTATGTGTACAAAGTAAATTATGAAAATTATCCTCATAATTTATCTATGTGTACAAAGTAAATTATGAAAATTATCCTCGTAATTTACAGAAAAGGTCTTTGTGTATTTTTTTTTGCAGAAATGGTCCATGTGTTTAAAACAAATTACAAAAGTAGTGCATACCTAATAGAAAATTTGCAAATTACTCGCAATATATTGCCATGTCCATCTGTCAACTTTTTTGTATTCACACTTTGGTCACATGAATTTTGTATATGTGTAAATTTGCTTCATACCCTTTGGTAGTTACGAAATTTTGGCACCGCTTATGTCCTCACAAAGTGGGGATGAAACAATTTCTATTATATATATATATATATATATATATATATATATATATATATATATTAAAGCACAAAGGATATAGGAATAGTAAATTTTATGCCTTTCAAAATTTTGGCATTAATGTTTTTAATATTAACATATTTAATCCTTATGTATTATAAACTTATGCACTTCAAATTTTTGCTACAAATGTTTTTAATAATAACATTTTTAGTCCCTATCAATTTATAATTTATAGAAAAGATCTCTATGAGTTTTTTTTTTTTTTTTTTTTTTTTTTTTTTTTTTTTTTTTAACAAAAGCAATTCCTATGATTAATATTTTTGTATGTTGGTAGTTTTGGCCCTTATGTAAAAAATAAATTACAAAAGTTGCCTCTGCAATTTGCAGAAAAGACCATTGTGTATTTTTACAGAAACGGTCTACGTGGTTAAAAAAATTACAAAAATAGTCCGTAAAGTTTTGCCACAAAAGTTTCAACATTTTACCACTTTCGGTCCATCCTTAACTTTTTACCATACTAGTTTGTGGAGTTGGCACTTTTAGTCGATATTCTCTATTGCTAGCCATAAAAGTTTCAAGAGTTTGCCACTTTTGGTCCTTGACATTTACTCAATGTGACACTTCAAGTTTTTGCCACATTAGTTTGTGGAACTGGCGCTTTCGGTCACCTACCTTCGATATTCTACTATACAACCCTACTTTCCTAAAAAAATTAAACACACACAAAATAGAAACAACAAACGAGAAAAAGAACCAAAGAAACACCGAAATATGTAAACATGAAAAAAATGGGACCGCCGTGAAGTTCATCATCATAGTAAAAACTAAACAACCAACTTGCATATTTTTTTTTGTCTAATCTAACTATAAAAAATTATCATTTTGTCAGGTTTATTGTAGCATTTTGACAACAAAAATTGTCCATATCAGACCACTTTTACATAAAAAAAAATGAAACGACAAAGCCCATTCACAGCACACACTCTACGACAATGACAACATAGAAATCCAAGATTCATTCAATGTTGTAACAATCGGGACTAGGGGCTACCAGACCAATTAGAGGGTGCCTAATGATTAATCCCTGCCAACAAAATTAGTGAGACAGTAGAAAACGTGAAATTTTAACACCTTGAAGAAGTTTTATCTCAATAGAAGTCATTTGAGAAATGATTAGTGTTGTATTAATCATATTAACTTATTTTATTATAATATTAGTGATATTTACGAACTTTGTTATGATATTAGTCATATTTAATTTTTTAAAATTCAACGAATTAGAAATTAATGGTCCCCGATTAATCCCCGCCTAGCCGCTTAATCTCTTAACCCCAGTCAACCGACTAGGTAACGTCGAACGTTTTTTACAACATTGGATCCACTGCAAAAGAATATGACAACTTCAATCCAAAGTCATTATCAATATATATTGGCAGCGTAAGTGAAAATCTATTTCACTTATTAAAATATATTTCACTAACTTTTGTCCCACTTATATACATCTTTTGATGTACAATGCCTTAATCATAAAAAAAAAGTAAAACTACAATCCTGCGTAAATCACAAAACCAAAAAAAAAAAAAAAAAAAAAAGAATTTCCGACGCGGGACGAAGCCCAGGATTTTTTTTCTAGTTATATAGTAAAAGATAAACGATATATCTTGAATCTCATTACTCAATTATAAAATAATATAAATAATTTATTGGGCGAGAAACTATTAATATAACTATAAAATTAATAAATGAAAGGAACAAAAAATATTGAAAATTTGTAAGTAGCATTTAAACTTAAATGGAAAAACAAAAGAAAATCATTGAAAAAAAATCTTTCTTAGCCTTGTTGTTGTCGTTGTCGTTGTTATTATTATTATTGTTGTTGTTGTTATTGTTGTTGTTGTCGTAGCCTTAAAACCATACCATTAAAATAATTTTGCATCGGTAAACTAATGAACTGCACCATTTAAAGCATTTTTTGTTGTGGTTTCTTTATAATCACATTAAAAAGATATTTATTTGTTGGCGCGGTTTTCCTTAATCACATTAAAAGACATTAACAATGTATTTATTTGTTCAAATTTTTAGTTCAAATTTAAACTTCCCTCTAAAATTTCGTTAAAATTTTTCATTTCGCAAGACATCCCTCCAAATTTACAGATATCCCTCCCAAATATTCCCTCTTCATTCTTTATTTTTTCGTATGTCTATCCAATTCCAATTGCATTAGTTTTCTCCTGTATGAGTTTGATCATCTCAAAACTTCTACACGTGAACGTCATTTGTTTCCTATTTGTGCTTTCATTTTTTAGCACAACAATAGTTTTTACAATTTATATTGATATGAAACTGGATGTCATGTATTTTTATAATGTAACAGACTCGTGATTTTCCCAACAGGTTATTTTTCTTTTATGACAAAGAATCAAGAAAAGGAAGAGAAGCTCCAATATGAAAAGATGAAAGAGTGACCCCCAAAGTTCAGTTCTTTTTATGCAACTGGAGGAGTATGGAGTGACATATACCAAATTTATAAACGATGGCAATGATTCACCATCCTTCGCAAACATGAGTTGGAAGTCGATATTCAAAATCGATGACAAGAATGTTGTAGAGGAAAGGTGTGTGTTTCTTCCCAATTTACATTGAACCACATAACACAAGTAAGTTCACGAACTTTATGTAAACATTCAAGGCTCACAAAAATCCTCCATTGGTAGGACAACAAAGCTTGGGGTGAAGCTGGATTGGAATGGTAATACTGCAAATACAACATCAGCTACATTGCCAACCATTAGGCTTGATAAAGAGAGTAGCCGAAAACATGGTTCAATGGTCTTGCAATTGGTTACCGTGATGTTGTTGTGGAGCTCGATAATGGCGACGATGTGGAAATACCTTGGAAGAAAGGTGATGTTTTTTGGGCGGTTCTAAGAAATGTTTTTGGTGCAGTTTTGACTATTTTTTTGGTGCATTTTTGTAACCGTACGATTAAATAGAGGTGCTTTCAATGCGATATTTGTTGGTGCAGTTCAATACCTGCACCAAATAATCAATTTAACAACACCATCAAATGCTTTTTGTACTAGTACTAGAAAATTTGAAAGTCTGATAAAAGAATCCAAAAACTTATTCTCTCTCTCTCTCTCTCTCTCTCTCTCTCTCTCCCCCCCCCTCTCTCTCTAGAAACCCTGTTGAGGACTTTACAATATCATAAACTAAGAATGATATAATTTGATTCCTTACATATGGATCATGTTTTGCAAATATATCCCTCAAACCAAGGAAACACAAAAGAAAAAGAAGATCAAACTGAAGTTCCAAACAAAGGAACAGGATGTGTCTAACTTCTTCAAATTAGGCATATATTTTGGAATGATCAAACTGATGTTCCAAAACAAAGGAACAGGATGTGTTTAACTTCTTCAAATTACGCATAGATTTTGGCCATTTTTTTATAAAAATTAAAAAATTTATA